GGGGGGGTAAGGGAGAGTTGGAGGGAGGGGGGAGTGGGGGGGTAAGGGGAGAAGGTTGGGGGGGGGGGTGGAGGGGTGGAGTAAATGATGGAAATGGGGGGGGGGTTATTGTAGAGGGGGTTGGGGGGGGGGGGGTTAAGGGAGGGAGGGGGGGGGAGGGAGGGAAAGGGAGAAGAACGGGCGAAAGAGCGGAAATAAAGAAAAATGAGAAGAAAAAAATGAAAGGAAAGAAGTGGCAGAAGAAATACAGAAGAATGATATAATCCGAAAGGAGGAATGAGGGAGAAGTGAAATAAAGAAGTAAATGACAAGGAAGGAAAAAAAAGGGGGGGGAGGGGGAGGAAAGGGTTTGTGAAACAGATTAATTAACATACTGTGAGAGAAATATATTGGATACAGTGAAATAAATACTCTACAATGCATACAAAAGAACAATACAGCTGTAGGTCCAAATATCAAGGAAAAAATACAAAATACAAAGACTATTGCAGAAAATACAACAGAAAAAAATAACTACAATGCTAAAACAAAGCGAAATGGATAAACTCCTCAATAATGGCGGTTTTTGCTACTTTTACTGATATTGTTCCAAAAATTGGCTACAGTATTTGGCTACATTTGGCTACATTTGGCTATTGCACTTTTCACTATGGCCCAACTACAAAAAAAAAAAATAGTCTGTTTTTTCTGCTTCAGGTGCATGGACTGCAGTTAAGTGAATCAATAAGTAATCTCTCTCTCTCTCTCTCTCTCTCTCTCTCTCTCTCTCTCTCTCTCTCTCTCTCTCTCTCTCTCTCTCTCTCTCTCTCTCTCTCTCTCTTATCGTCCGACATTCTATTCCTCCTCCTCCTCCTTCAGCACTCCTTCGCCTTTATTTCCCTCTCCTCCCTCCCTCCCTCCCTCCCTCCCTCCCTCCCTCCCTCCCTCCCTCCCTCTTCTCCCCACCCTCCCCTCCCCCTACCTGACGAAGCGGTGCGTGTCCATGGGCACGTAGGAGTCGTCGTAGGGGTCAGAGAAGCGCGTGCGGTGGTACCCGTTGAGCGCCGCGGCCGCGTTGGCCCCCGTCGCCGTCGCCGCCGCCGCCGCGTTGGCCGCCGCGTTCTGCTGGAGGCCGAGGTTGACCATCTCCATGTTGATGGTGGTGGAGGACGGGCTCTTCTTGAGGATGCCCTTGCGCACCGAGGACACCGAGCTGCGCTGGCTCAGGTTGCCCGAGCGGTGGCTCACGGGCGAGTGCCGCGGGGACGGCTGCGGGCTCATCCTGGGGGGGAAGGAGGGCATGTCAGTGGGGGGGCGTAGCCTGGGGGGGGAAGGGCATGTCAGTGCGGGGCGTAGCCTGGGGAAGGAAGGGGGTGGGGGGAATCATCCTGGGGAGGGAAGGGGACGTCAGCAGGGGAGGGACTCATCCTGGGGGGGAAGGGCATGTCAGTGCGGGGTCGTAGCCTAGGGAAGGAAGGAAGGGGGTGGGAGAATCATCCTGGGGGGGGGGGGGCATGTCAGTGGGGGGCGTAGCCTGGGGAAGGAAGAGGGTGGGGGGGGAATCATCCTGGGGAGGGAAAGGGACGTCAGCTGGGGAGGAACTCATCCTGGGGGAATTTAAGGAAATCTTCCTACAGCGGGGGAGGTGGCTGGAGGCTCATCCTAAGGAAGAGTGGGAGGGGGGGGGGGTCCGCTGGGAGTGCCATAGGGAATTTACGGGTTAATTTCAAGAAGGGGACTTATTATATAAAACGTGAGTTACATACATTTTTTTTTTGGGGGGGGGGGTGACTGGACAGGATCAACGTCCGTCCACATCTGTATCGAACAAAATTCATATCACATAACTTGTCTTCCCAGTTTGAATCCCTCTGATCTGAAGTAGAGTGAAGGTCAGGGGTAACCTAACCTAACCTAACCTGAAGCTGAGCCGCGGCGAGTGCAGGGGACTGGGCTCCGGCGACGACCTGGTGGAGACGCTCGAGGTGGCGTCTCCTCTGCCGCCCTCGTCGTCCTCGTCGTCGTTGAAGAAGGTCGGGTTCACCACGCCGGGGTCGTCGTTGTCGTCATCGATCTTGTCCTCGCCGGGCATAATGTCGTCCTTGTCGTCGTCCGAGTCGTCGCAGCCCAGGCGGAACTTCCCGGTCTTCACTTTGCCGTTGGCCACGAGCCCGCTGTGGTTCTCCAGAGCTTTCTTGGCGTCGCTGTGGTTCCTCTCCTCATCCTTGTTGTTCTTGTGGTTCCTCTCCAGGTTCTGCTGGTTCTGGAGGCGCGTGTCGAGGTCGTCCTCGCCGCCTCCTCCCGCGTCGGAAGGGTGTCCGGGGTCCTTGTGCTCGGCCTCCCGCTCCTTCCGCCGCTTGTTCTTGCTCTTGTTCTTGCCGACGAGGGCGAGGCCGTCGTGGGCGTCGGTGAGGTCGTCGTCGTCCTCGTCGTTGCTGTCCACGACGGCTGTGTTCTCGTTCTCGTCCGTCAGCGACTTGCTGTCGTCCTTCTGGCGCTGGTTGATGGAGGCGAGGAATGC